TTTGCCATATTAACCATAGAAATAAACAGAAAAGACCAAGATCAAAGATTGTAAGCACAAAACCACATTCAGCATCCATTTATTCATTGATACTTGCTATTGCAAATCAAACAAATCAAGTACACTAGCTACAATATGGGACCGAGAATTCTTTGTAAAGAAAAATATGCAGCAAGGTTTCATTAGGGACACCATATGCTAGGCAGAAATTTCCAACTTCAATTCCTTGAGCCACTAGTCTAGAGTGCACTAGCAGACAATCATTAACAATAAGCCACAAAAGTTTTTTTTAAAAAATTTTTGGCTGCACATTTAGACCTCATAAAATATGCCAAAAAGACCTCATTGCATCGACTGTCAGTTTCATAACTGCCACTTTTTTCTTCAACCCAAATCCGATCATCTTCTTTACAAGGAGAATCACTATGAATTGAACATTTTGGCTCAAATAAAGCATTAAGAACATCCAACCTCTAACTTCAAATAGTTTGCCGATAATAAAGAATAGACAAAATTAAAGGGTATAGTCTTGGGGCTTATCGGTAATTATCTTCGGGTTTGTTGCATCAAAAATCCAAATGTTATCCCAAATTGAAATGGTATCTCCTCTCCCACCTTTTTAATAGCCCTTTCTTTGATAAAAGGAATTACAACATGAATACTACTCCACCCCAACTCAGATTAAAACCAACTTTTAAGTGGAATAGAAAGGAATGAAAAGTATCGAGCTTTGAACAATCTATATACCAAAGAATTGGGAAGAGTTAATATCCTTCACACTTGTTTACCCAATAAAGCATTATTAAATTGATAGAGGCAATAGAAGTTTAACCCACCCAAAAGCTTGGGACAACATAAGGCCTCCCATCTCTTCCAAATAATTCCTCCACTATCACATGAACTGTTACCCTAAAAGAATTTGTTCATCATTTTGGATCTCAGTACAAAGAGATAAGGGCAGATGGAAAATTCCCATGGCATAAGTGGGATAACTTGAAGAATAAACTTTATCAAGATAGTTTTCCCTACTCTCTGTAGAATAATTTTTTCCAGTTAGATATTCTTTGTCAAATTTTATCCTTAATATAAGAGAATATAACACTCTATGAGGGAACCCCCAAATAGATACTGAGATCAGAAGTCTCATTAATTGAGAATATAGCCGAAATGGATTGCCTTACATTTGGAAGAGTATTAATACTGAACAACATGGATGACTTCTAGTAATTGATGATTTGATCAGATGCTTTTTCATAAATGTCAAGACATTCCTTTATATGCCTTCCTTTTGCATCAGTAGCTTTGAAAAAAAAGACTATCATCGGCGAAAAATAAATAAGAAACACGAGGGAAACCCCTTATAATATTATAACCATGAATTGGATTACACATTTCTTTACTTCTAATCAAGGAAGAAAGGCCTTTTGCATAGAGTATAAACAAGTAAGGGGACAAAGGACACCCTTATTACAAGCCTCTGGCTGGAGAAATAGGCCCTATTTCCTTTCCTTCAAATAAAACAAAATAATATACTGTAGAAACACATGACATAACTAAATTCACAGTGCAAACAAGGCCACTCTATTTGGTCGTATACTTTACTCATATCTACCTTCTATGGCTACTGCTCCCTCATTACCCTGTCTCTTTCAGTTCAGATAGTGAATTATTTCATAGGCGACCAAAATGCTATCAATGATCAATCTCCTAAGAATATATGCACTCTAACAGAAAGAAATTAAATCTCGCGAGACCTATTTTATTTGATTACCAAGCACCTTAGGTAAAAACTTGTAAAGGACATTGCATAGTGAAATCGACCTAAAATCCACCATCGAAGTAGGATTCTTCTTCTTAGAGATGATGACAATATAAGTGTTATTTGGAATATAAGGAAAAGTCTTAGAGTTTAAAGACTCTTAGATAAATTATCCATGAAACGCCATTGAGGTTAATGGGGTAGGGAAATAGCAACATCAATGTGGTACCATGAGAAGCTTATTAGACGATTATTATTTGATCTTCCAAAAAAGGGCAAGGCCCCCTTTGAGTCCAATACTATCAATTGTAAAACAACCTTCATAATCCAAGGTTCTCCTTATGCCATCAACTCTAACTTTGTTTATTTTTGCTTATATTGAGAAAATAAAAGTGGGCCTATATGTACAAATAACATTCCTCAAGAGCCAAACTGTATGTCGATTGCGTAAACCACGATAGTTCCATGAAAGGCAACTCATTAGGCTCCATGGCCTTGGGACCTAGGACCCATCGGAACAATATTAGTACAAACCAAACCCAATATGCCACCCATAATTCCAAACTCTAGGCCAATTTAGTCTCCCTCATCAAACCTTCTTCCTTTTGCATCTCCAATAGTGAGAGAATCTGATTCATGGCCCAACCCAATAGTGTTAGCATGACCAGCAAATAGTCGTTCTTCGTTATTGCGAAAACACATAATTTTTAAGGAAGCTATTATGTCCTTACCACGTCCACACCACAGCCCATGTTGGACAAGACTTTTGCAATTCTAACTGCCCCCGTGATTTTTGACACTTCCAATGGTCTCCTCCGCACTTCTCTAAGCCAATGATCATCCACAACCTGAGAACTCCAGCAAGAACCGCTAGGAGATCTGACGAGAATTACCTCTCCATATGAAGTGTTGAAAATTCTTCTCAAAGATTGCAAAACTTGTTAGAGTGTTATTTGAATTTCTAAAGATGATAATAAAATTGTAGAATTCGAGCAGCACGAGTAAATACTAGCTCAAATAATGTGCGGGTCTAGAAAAAGGAGAAAAAAAGGATTATCAATATACATTTGGAGTTATGACAAATTTAGTAAATTGAATATATTTAAAGGATTGAACGTAAACAAATTAGCAAAGAAAAAGGTCATATTTGCTTGAATGCTCTACCCTACAAATGGATTGAAGCATTCAAATTCTAGTCGCAGAAAATGGGGAAAAAAAATGTAACTGAATTAATCTGTCCCATCTGTATCTGACAAAGAACCAAGTTAGATTTACAGATGAAGAAAAAAAGGAAATAAACAAAATTTTTGCTTTTTGCAAACAAATTAAACCGAAAAGTGAATTTATGGTGTTAGGTGTAGGGAGTATTATACGTAGTTATAGGTAAAAAATAATTTTTTATATATTTTTCAATTATCATTAGCTTTTAGGCATTTTATTTAACAAAATAGTTAATTGTTGATTTTTAAATTTTTGATAAGAATAGTTCATTGTTGTATTTCTATAGATTAGAGGATGTATAAATGGTCTAGAGTGACCAGCTACTAGTTTTATGGAATAATTTCTGACATATGAATTTAATGAGTTTATTGTGTAGATATCATTTAATGTTTGTAACAGATGAAGGAATGATAATATTTTTAAGTTGTAGGAACTACTTACTAATATTATAGGATGAGAAATGTTCTCTCCGTAAGATTAACTTTGTCATCAATACCCAACATAAGGTACCAAAAGGCTGCCTAACCGTACAAAAAACCTCTGTGCACCCAAGCCTTATTTTCTAGTTAACAACCTACCACCAACTACACTAAACAGACGTTCAATGACAAACCTCGTAACAACCATTCTACAACTTCTTCATAATTTGATGAAAGTCAAAAAATACCATCTTCATTGCCAAATACATGCAACCATTCTCTTCAACTTTCCCCAACTCCTCCTGTTTTGCTCCCTCGAATGCCACACCACATCTTACATCCAGCATATCTCGAACCAGAGAATTTTGAATCCAGGCTTCAAAATCACTAACCATCGCCCGACTAGCAGTCTCCACACCAGACATGGCATCGACGGACTTGCAACAACCCAGAAAGGTATTCGTTGTTTTGATGATAATAATAGTGCTTTTTCCTGTTTTTCGCTTGTCTCTGAGATGCAGATGCCTGCCCTTTTAGCACATTTGCAAAGTGTGTACGCAAACCTTCCCTCCCATTCGCTATCTGCAGCACTTGAGAAAGTCATCTCTTTCTCAATTCCACGAGTCAAAAATCGCAAATCCTAATTTAATTTTCCTCTTCCAAATGAGCTCCAAGATTATACCTCTTTTATCTCATACACGTCAGATAGATGGTATTTTTGCGTTAAAATTCTTCTCTTTCCTTTGACTAGGTCATTAGGTATTGGGTTAATGGGATTTGAATACAAAATTGCACAAAATGACTGCATTGTCTAACAAAAGTGAAAATTAAAATAATTTTATATAAATTGAAAAAAATACAAAGACGGACCGGTTGTATTTTCCAAAATACTTAAACCGTGCCATATTTTTTCCCTTAAAATTTTTTTTATTAACCTTCATAGATATTTAGTTTAAGTAAAGCTTCAAACTGAACCAACCTATACCATGGACCACCCTATCAGAAGGTAACAAAAAAGTGAAATCCAACTGAAACCTCAATATTTTGGAGTGTGCCAACCGGCAGTTCAGTTTCAAACCCGACCATAAGAACCAAAAATAAATTTTCTTTGAAACTGAACCAAACCGAAATAAAATCAAAAACCAAACCAAACTGGTCAGTTCAGTTCGGGTCGCATCAATTTGGTCAAATAGTTCAATTTTTACTCAGAAAATAAATGTTTTGGAATAACCGTTCCAAAGACCGAAAACCGAAATTATGGAAGATTTCAAACCGAATAGCTGAATTTAGTTTTTTCCAAAGTTTGCTCACACCTAAGGGACACCATCAAATTCTGTCATGGAGCACAGCTACAAGTCCATGATTTTAATAGATCCATGCACCTATGAGCAATATCATTAGCAAATGTGCGGGTTCTACTCGATAATTTCTCCAACCAATAATTTGTCCATCAGAATGAAGCACTAATCATAAATCAAGCAAAGAGTGAGCATTTGCCCCTCCAGTAGCAAATGCAAATATCAAAACTAGCATGGAAGGAGGTGATTTTGCACAACCATCTTGTTTACTTTACTTAAAGCTTAAATTATATTACTAGTTTCTTTTTTCTTAGGATGGACACAATCAAGAGAGTGAAATATGATATATAGATGCCAAAAAAATAAGCATTTAAGCATACATGTGCGGTTACAGCTGATGCTCATTGCGTATGAGATAAAAACAACCTATTTGAAATCTACACGTCACGGTTGGTCCTCAAAATGCACGACTATACACCCTCAACAGCACATATGCTATCTTCCAAGCCGGAGCAGCCGAAAAAATGTTCACTTGTGAAAGAATAGACTTTTTTTCTTCCCTTTCTTTCTTTCACCAGCCTGCAATGTTCAAGAAGATTGGAACTTAAGAATACATGCTTTGAGATGGCACTTCACACATTAAATATGATGCTGATACTTGATGCTAACTTGTAGTAAATCTTGTCTGCGATAAATCAGTTTAGTACTTAATTTCAAGAGACAACTTCAATTTGTTACAAAGGAACCAACAAGTACATGTACATGTTAACTAAGATAATGTATTTGAACATTTGGATTTGATTAAAATCCATTATTTGGATGCATCAAATGTTTATGAATTTGGATTTGAATAAAATCAACAACAAATTCTAAAGGCTTTAAACACATTCAGTTTCAAATAATTCTAAAATAAGTGTCACTCTCTATACTTCAAATTATTCTAAAACAACTGTCACTCTCTCGCTATGTATATATATATATATATACAATTTTTTTTACATGGATGTAGACAAATTTAATTGATTTTGAGTTTATAACAAACCCTACAATTTGATTCAATTCCGACTCAATTTGGGTTAGCAAGTGAACTAGCAACTTTTGCTGGAGGTAATTGAAGTTCAACTATTGCACTTCACAATTATATACTAAGTAGGAAAAGTTATGTTGTTGCACTTTGCATTAAATGCCAAGTAAAGCAACTACGGATGAACTTCCAATGCATGCCAGATGAACTCACATTCACTGATGAATTAGTGGCTACAATTTTAGCCACCATTAACTCTCAATCCAAATCTTCCATTAGAAAGCTGTAGGATTCACAATGTACTTGGTAGGAGTTCAAATTCAGGCCACATGCACGCACTTACATGCAATAGTTTTTCTTTTAAAAAACATGAGAACAACTCCATTATCAGAAGAATGGGAAAAAAAACAAAATTAAACTGCACTTCTCAACTTGTAAATAAACTCTAGTTTTATTTACAAACAAACCATTGGGTTTCTTTGGATGAGGATTAATGTTGGTTAAAATTCTAAGAAAAGAACGAGTCTACATGCTTAACTGATACAATTAAAAGAATTGTAGAACATCATAAAAACTGCAATAAATGAAATTAAAAGAGCTGTACAAAACCATAGAATGTGCAAAACTGTGAGAATCTTTCCGGGCATTAGCTTTTATTTTAAGAAAACCATTTAAGAACTACCAAACAAATAAACAATCAAAAAAAAAAAAAAAAAAAAAAAAAAAAAAAAAAAAAAAAAAACTGTGAGAATCTTTCCGGGCATTAAGCTTTTATTTAGAAAACCATTTTAGAACTCCAAAACAAATAAACAATCAAAAAAAAAAAAAAAAAAAAAAAAAAAAAAAAAAAAAAAAAAAAAAAAAAAAAAAAAAAAAAAAAAAACAAGAAATCATAGATTCCCAAATGAAACATAATGGAACAATTCAAAGTTTACATGGAAAAGGAAATGAAAATAAAGGTCAGAGAATTCCATGACATTCAAACTAAAGAGAGAGTAACCAAAAAGTAAACAAAGTTTAAGAATTTTATACCCGCTTGTTAAATAATCTGAAGATGAACACAATCATGTCTCTTGAACTGCAAAAAAAAAGAAAAAGAAAAAGAGTAAAATAAACCTAGAAGGAAAGAGAGGAGAAGTACTAGAAAAAATTGAATCTGATTTAGATGACTAGAGCATATAGGCATTAAGAACATGGCACAAATTAACCAATCATTTCAGCCTCCACATGGCTATTTACAAAGAAATCTTTCAAATCACTATAAAAGTTCTAAAAGCAAAAATGAGAATCCAACTTTCTCATGATAATTTATCATGTTATTGTTATTTCCATTTTTAGAAATTATGCTCCTGTTGTAGCTTTTGCAGTTTCCATATATGAATACTCTACAAAAGTAAGTAATAATTGAAGTTATGAACGTCGAATGAAAAGTTTAGGTAACTGTATTTTCTATGCTGACAAAGATACTTGGTTCCTTTTACTCATGCATCAAGATTCATTAATCACCATCAGTAGTCTGCATCCCATTCTCCTCCAAAGGGTAATGATTTTGCAATAATCAGATATTAAAAAAAAAGAAAAAGAAAAAGAAAAAGAAAAGATTCTCTTTGCCTCTGTTTTTCCTTAAAAAAAACCTAAGAAGTTGTTTTCTTTAGCTGGTGATTATATTGTATAAGTTGTTTCTAGGATTAAATTATTCCATAAGATTAGTTTTATTCTTTTTCTCTGCACCATGTTTATACATAATGAAAAATTGGGAACACATTAACATTTAGAAACAATTTAAACTCACCAACTAGTATCCATTGAGTTGTTATCCACCCGTAAGGCATGCTGACCATTGCTAGAACTGATAATTATGAATTCTGCAGGCTGTCCGTATGGGATCACAACCTAGAAAAATTATAATAATGAAACAAGATATTAAGTGACGTGATAGTATGGAAGGTGTAATTGGCAAAAGGTAATATTGATTGGCTGCCAAAAAAACAAGCTAGAACAACTGTTATAAGATGATCGTAGTTTGACAGGTCATCTAGCACATGCACAAGTCTTTCTCAACCACTTGCTTGACATTCAAAACCATTATTATCTGGTTGTCATATATTTATCTGGTCTGTCATATATATATATTATATATATATATTATATAATATATATATATAGTATATACTATATATACTTTTTTTTTAAAGGAACATCCCAAAGACACTAAATTGTATCTTGTCTTTCTAATAATATTTTTGCCCTCTTCGTCTATATATACTTTTTTTTTTAAAGAAATCCAAAAGTACACTAAATTGTATCTTGTCTTTCTAATAATAATTTTGCCCCTCTTCGTCTCCTTTCACCTTTAACCAAACAAGATGTCCTCTCCCGAGAGAAACTCATTAGTAACACATAAAATCAAGTCATTAGTGACTATACAAGGGTATCATACTTTCAACAATTTTTTTATCAAGGGGGAAAAAAAAAGAAGAGAGGAAGAAAAATTGATATACATGACAGTTGCCTAAACAAGCTACGTCAATCTTAGACACGTAGTTTGAATGCAGGTACACTATCCTGCAAACTAACAAGAAACCTTGAGACACTGAAAGAAGGATTAAAACAAGCTGTGGGAACAGCAACATTTTTTATTTCAGGGACTTCTACCTGCCTTATTAATGATGATAATGAACAAGAATGTAGGGAGATCCAGTTACTGTTCTGTCTTTGTCATGTGGTTCCATTATTGTTATCTTGCAACAACAACAACTAAGACTTAGTCTCAAAACTAGTAGGGGTCGGCTATATGAATCCTTTGTTTCCAATATCTGCTCTGATCAAATTAATATTAACTTAATCTAGCAATACTAAAAATTGAATTAAGCTAGGTATTCAATGCCTTCCATATGGTATGTTGCAGTCTCAACTCGGCATCTAGAAAGCATAATAGAAAATTCTGTTTCAGCAGGGTTTTCACAGACCAAACTGCACATAGATATAGTTTTTAAGGACTTCCTCTCTCTTGTTCCAAGCTGAACAAACTTTTGGTACTCAAGAAGGCACCTTTTCCTTTCGCTTTCTACTAAAGCAGGAAACTTAACCTAAAATAAATGGGAGAAATAGAAGTTTCAATTAATCAGCTCACTTCAAATCTCCAAAATTAAGACCTACCAGCTGTTCAAAATTATTTAAAGATACATGTCCTAAAAGCTGTGTCCAGAATTCTAGAATCTAGGCATTCACACAGGACAAGAAAGAAAATAAGTGAAGAACTGTACCTCTGTGGTTTGTGAGAACTTCTCATTCACCACAAAACCACTGGACCCACTACACTTGATATTGTAACCTTCCCTCTTAATTGCCAAAGTGGCTGGTTCCCATATACCAAGATATCCAGTCTGTAACATAAGATACACATGTAACATTAGGTATGCCTTTCCTTCATACATATACAACGATGATGTTAAATGGTCTGGTGATAGCTTGAGAACAAATTAAAGAATAAGGAAATGCATGTATATGCACACCAAACACACTGGGAAGTCATACCGATAAGGATACTTTATATGAAGTATGACCACTGAGAAAAGCTCTCTCAACATGATTCTGCATTTCAGGATCTGCAAAGGAAAACAAATTAATATTCACACCAAAAAGTGAACAATTTGACAGAAGGCATGTCTCAACAACTATAATAAACGGAATAGTGAGAGAAATATGTGGTATGATAAATTTATGCCTCTTAATTAGCTTAGAGTTCACAATTTTGATGTAAACTGCATGATGTTAAATTAATGTCAGGACACTTATTGCTAGGATATGGGGAAAAAGGGTTGTAAAGCACAAAACATAAGAACCCCATTTTGTATCCAAGTAAACAATTCAAGTTTATCACGACTTCATATGTCAAAAAATGAGCACATATTAGACAAGTAAATCAAGATCTAGACTTAAGAGGAGGCTGTTGTAATTGGTAAGCAATATTCTAGCAACTCAATAACAAGAACAGCAACTTTTGCAAAACAATGTTTCTATGATGTACTGCCAGTTGCTAGTTCAACTCAGGGAAATACAATTATTCTTGATTAACAAGGATTATGAAATCAAAAATTTCCAGCAAAAAATTAAACAACCACAGAACTTCATGCAGACCATATAGAAGTAATAATACAATTACTAACCACAAACGATCTTTCTGTGCTCATTTGCAAACACCCTTACGACATCTCCCTGGAAACATTTGTGAATAGGAAAAAAAAAAAAAAAAGAAATATATTATGATAAAATAATTTAATATAACTTAAGACATATATCCACAAAAAAAATCCTCACTTAAGTCAACACTTGTATGCACTTTACTTCGCATGTCTACATATTCATTTTGTAAATCTTTATCCCAATCGGCCAAAACCACAGTTCCCATTTGTATGCAGGCCAAATAACACTACAATGATTAGATTGCAGAAAATGAACACAGTAAGATGCAATATTTTTGTGAAAGTCAACCAAGCAATTCCATCCGATTGCTGGCCTTGCAAAGGCTGCTTTATAAGGTCTTTATGTAATGCACAAACAAATAGAAATGTACACTAGCAATCAAAGACAAGTACAAGCAGTAGCGATCAAAGACAAGTACAAGCAGACAGACAAATAGATGCATTCAACCCCATGCTATCCTAGTCCAATTGCTTATTTACAGCATGGCGATGCAGTCCGTGCTTGTATGATCTTAAAAGAAATTTGCCACTGCTTGTACATGATGGTGGTTAGTGCAGAACAGAAAATTAAAATTAAATCCCATTATTTTCAACTAATTGGAGGAAGGGCACAATTTCGAGACAATCTTCCTATCTTATATTTTTCTTTGTCCAAAACCAATATGATGCCAAGGTAATTAAGCGCACTTTGACAATATTAAGATGTTAACTTGATGCCAACAGCAATAGGAGAACCTCATATACTCAAGCAACCATAGTTATCAGAACCGAACTAATTGCCAGCCAGTTGGACCAGCAGCACTGTGATCGCAAGGGAAAACAAGTGATTCACTTGAAAAAATGACTGACCACACTAACCACAGTTGAACCACGAAGTTTTTAATCAAACCATGCAGTTCAACTGCCAAAGGATAAAATTCAATTAATTTTTTATATTTTGTGTATAGCTTCATCTTAAGTAATATTCAAGTTGTTAAATCATAATATTTATAAAAATTAGAAACATATTTACACATATACACATGCAAATTTGTTTTTTACATTGTTTAATTATTTAGAAAAAATAATTAATTATAAAAAAAAACCCCTACAGTCTAACCGGTGAACCAACAGTTGAACCTTAATTTTTAAATTTTTTAATGCTTGTTTCAGTTTGTAATTAGAACACCAGGAACGGTAGAAAGAAATTCTAAAGAATCAAATTGGATCTATATCCAACAATTCACATCTGCGAAGGAAAAGTATTTTGTTTTAGAGAAGTCTATCAAAGCAACCCTAAAATTGGTATTGGAAAAAAAAGAGAGAGAAAGAGAGAGAGAATTAGGATGTTAACATAATCACTAGATAAGGTGCTATAACTGATATTTGAAGAGATTCAGATTACTATATATATATATATACACATATGCTGCTATAACTGATATTTGAAGAGATTTCAGCATTACTAATATATATATATAGTAGTATTATTTATATATATATAGAGAGAGAGAGAGGGAGAAGAGGAGAGAGAGAGAGAGAGGAAGAGAGACGAGAGAGAGGAGAGAGAGAGAGAGAGAGAGAGAGGTCAGACAAAGAAGAAACGACAGAAATCAGTTGCACATCTGACGTAATGGCTGTAGGAGACAATCAATGCACTGCCAAAGCAGTGTTAAATGCCAAAACAGCCAACAGAGATAGAGGGGCATCCATAAAGAAAGGAGTAGAAAGAAGAGATTGAGCTGGAGTGTAAAAGTGAGGGGAAGAACGTAAAGAGCGTAAGGGTCAATTCCAGTAGCAAGTGAGAGAAGATAAATAAATGGAAAAAAAAAGAAGAGAGAACAAAAATGAAAGGAGGGATAGCACCTAGCCTCTTCCGAATCTCGCATCCATTTCAGCAAAGAGAAGGATCAGACGTATAGGCTGTCTCGAAGCAACTGCAAGATCTCTTTGCCTCTTAGTCATGTCTCACCATTCCAGAGAACTAAGAGAATGAATCACATAGCATGCACAGGTTATAATTTGATATTACAATAATCATATTATCTGATAACCAAGTCAAAATTCACTAGTTCTCACCAAAACAATAAACCAGGGACTCCAACGGACAAACTACATCAATGCTTTGCCACATTCCATGAATGTACAGGCACAAAAAGAATGTGAGACAAAAAAAAATGACATGAAGGTCAACTGTTGTTGCAAAATATATGGCTTGTGAAGCCTTCTTTCACAGCCAAAAGTTTATACCTTGCGCTTCCTGTCATCCAGAGGCTGGACTTCTATAGCAAGGTAAGAATTAACATCATCAGCAGTAACAAGATAAGTTGGTTGTTTTGCTCCTGTAATCAGAATATCCTTTTCCTTAATGAACAGTTATGCATGAGGAAAATGAAAACCAGAAAAAAAAAATTGCACAAGGGAGAGACGAAAAGATTACCCTCAATATAATGAACAGATCCATCTTCTGAATGGCGTACCCACTAACCGTGCAACAAGCAGTTAAAGAAATATGAATAACTTTATGTAGAAATACACCCATAATAACAGATGGAACCCAAATGCTAATCCTGAACCCAAATGCTAATCCTGAACCCATACCTCAAAGTTACAACTGGTTGTCCCATTGATGGAATATCCACATGCCTGGAGTTCTCGTCCAGGAACTGCTTCACCTGAAATTTGAAGATCCTTAATAGCTGGCAATGGATCATCATCAGCAGCTGCATGCCAATTTGGGATAATCAACAACAGGGCTTAAACCAAGAACTTAGGCAGAAAAAATGGACCAACAACCAAGCTTTTCTAACCCTCTGAAAAGGACGAAGAAGGTTCTTCAAGAACAGGAGGTAGGTAAGGTGAATATGAGGAGCTCGGATCATCGAGGTGGGTAGTTCCCCAATTGCCTGAAGGTTCTCTCTCATTCTGGTATCGCTCTGGATCAGGATCATCCATCTCATTATTGCTCACAGGCTCACGAAAAGTAACTTGTTTATTGCCAGTTTCTTCTCCATAATGTACAGCATGTGAATCACCCCTAGTAACTGTAAACTGTGCAGGTATATCTTGTGTCGCAGAGTTCCTGGAAAACAGCCACATATTGGGTCAATGCAACATT